CTGGTCAGCCGGGCCCAGCCAAGACCAGGCTGTTTTGGAAAAATGCTGGGAGGTGGCAGAATGTGCGGTCTGTGAGCTCCCTCCAAACTGGCGCCCCAATCCCTGAACAAACAGTGGCCATGTTTGCCTGTCCACAACAGCCTGTGTTCTCCTTCCAGGCCAGGAGATTCCCAGGGCAGGCGGCCGTGTGGGGGACATTGGTGACCCGCTGGGCCCACGGGGGAGAGGCACAGACAGACTGGGTGATGACAGGCCAGGCAGCCGCCTGGCTGGGCCCTCCCACCCCGTGGCAGGGCGGTCAGACTGAGGGCAGCCCAGGGACCATGCTGCCTTCACCTCTGCTGCCACACAGGACATTCCGCCAAGGAGACTGGAATTCACACTTTGAAAAACTACTACCTTCTGCTGGCATGGTTCCTGGTGGAAGTTGGGGGGTGTTCACTGCTGCTTCTCACTGACCCTGGAGGCCTCCGGGTGAGGGAGTCCCACAGGGGCACGTGCTGGGTGGGGCAGGTGGCCCAGTTCTGGTTCAAGGACCATCCTTTGCTTCTATGTAGCCATAAGAAAGTCCCCGCCACTCTAAGACTCTGGTTTATCTTATGGAAAACGAGGGAGTCCCCCTTGCTGTCCCCCTCCCCAGGTGGAGGTTAGGGCTCAGGGAGAGCAGACCTAAGGGCGGTGGGGAGGGGCCGGTGAAGCAGAAAGATGGCACAGGGCCGAGGATGCGGTGGACAAGGCTGGCTGAGTGTCCTGCCCTGGTGGCATTGTTCAGAAGATGTTGGTGGTTCTCTTCTGGGTGGCCAGGCTCTGGGTCCAGGTGGCCAGGTGGGGAGAGGCCCTGCAGCCCTCTCTGGATCTGGGGACTCTGAACTGAGGTTGGACCTAACGGTGTCAAAACAAACAAACAAAGAACGCTGCAGCCACAAAAAAAAAAAAAGCGCCTTTTTCAGGCTAGCTTTTTGGGGGTGTGGGGGGGGGGCGGGAATTCCCTCCCCAGGCTGTGGGGAGGGGACTGGGCAAGGCAGAGGATGGGACCGGCCTGGGTACTATGAGGCCCTGCCTGTGACAGTACCAGGCCCTCTCTCCCCACCCCAGCCCCTCAGTCCTGAAAACCACCCTCAGAGTTCCTTGTCCCAGCACTGGACGTCTCGCCCTTTGCTGGCCTCACCTTTGCCCTCTGCGAGTCAGGTTGCAGAGCGCCTTTTATCTGAGCGTGAGGAACGTGAAAGAGGACACGGTTTCCGTCGTCAAACGGGCTTGGGGAGCCCTGTGACCCAGGCAGTCGCTTAGCACGCCCGCCCTCAGGTTCAAGGGCCCGGGAGGTCCTGCAGGGAGGAATCTGCCCAACCCTTTTTGACCCTTTCCCCAAACGTATTTAATCAGGGAACCCGTTTGCTCCTACAACACCCATGAAATAGGCTTTGAGAAGTGCTCTAGGGCACGAGGTTGGAAGTCAGGAGAACTGAACTCTGCTCCCCAATTTGCCGTGTGGCCATGGACATCAGTGTCCTTGTTCAAGACGGACGCTGAGGACGGGGCCTCGGCTCTGGGTTGCCTCGTCCAGCAATGAGACTCCCGGCCGAGCTGGTCATGGCCACAGTCGGCCAGCGGAGACAACTCCCAGCTGCCCCATCCCCCAATGTATGGGGACCAGTGGCTGTACATTTACACGTCTCCCCACCCAGGGGAACCCACTACTTCCAGGGCACTGGCACGGACCTCTCTGCGCCTATGCACAAGGAATGGTGAGCTTGGTTGTGGGGAAGAATTTCCTGCCTGGCAGGTGGGCATAGGGGAAGGGCATGTGGGTGGCCGGGAGGACCCTTACAGCAATGCTGAGAATGCAGAGACCAGACAGGCAAACAAGGGTGAGTCCCCACGGTTTATTATGGAAGCCTATAAAAGAGCCAGGTTGAGTATTTCCAAAATCACAAAATGCACAACATTCATTTTTTTTTTAATATGCAACATGGAATATTATATACAGATTAAAACCACATGACAGCAAAAACACTCACACGGCACCAGTTTCATATCAAAACAAAACACACAAGTGCTTTTTCAATATTAAAACAACTGTGATAAAAACATATTAATATTTTGAACCATGTTTACAATAGAGAAAAAAATTCATATTTTACTAAATAACAAATATTTAACAGCAAAAACTTTATACTAAATATCTATTTTGAATTATAACAAAAATAGTACTTATAATAGTTTATAAAGACAGACACAAAATTATAACATTTATGAAAAAAAAGTTTTGTGTATAAAATAATATTATAGTGATCCGGGCAGGGTCAGGATGGTACCCAGAACACAAACGCCAGCGCCCAACATCGAAAGTGCTTCAATCTGCAAGCCCGTGGCAGGAAGAGGGTTGTGGGGTTTTGTCTTTTTAATGTCAAGTTACAATAGTTAGGAATGGTAAGTGAGGAAACATCACCCATCTAGCGCTACCTCTATAGAGCCTATACAAGAAACACACGGACACGGATGGACACAGAGAGGAGAGACGGCTGAATTTCGACACTGGGACCCTCCTGTCAGCCAGTCAAGAGCTTCTTTCGGTTCCCTTCTTGTTGCCTTTGAGACCCAGCGGGGTAAATAATCTTTCCTTCCTCCTCACGGGGACCCCCTCCGACTTCCCCTCTGCCCCTCCCAGGCTGGTCACCCCAAGAGAAGGCCACTGATGCCTCCCAGAGCCCTCCGGACCCCCCACCCCCTTACCAGGGCCAGGCCTGGTGGGCTTCCTGTCTGAAGTAGCACTTACTGCCTTCCTAGATGTTCAGTCAAAAGCGACTGGTTCAGGACAAGCTGGGTCAGCTTAATGGACCAGGAACCTTGCAGACACTGGGCTTTTTTATGGGTATGAAATTCTGGTGCACCATGCAGATATTTTGCAAGCGTTGATGAGTCTTGACACATTTTTGCCTGTTTTTCAGAATGTGTGTGTGTGGGGGGGGGTGGATTGAGAGATTTTGCTAATATTTTAAAAATGTCTCTTTGTCAATGATGCCCCTGTTCTGCACTGTTTTTTAGTGGTGAAAATGTAGGAACCAAATGAAACACTTGAGAACAGGGGTTATAGAGCGGTCCACCAGGCATGAACCCGTTGCCCTAAAGCCTACCACACAGGGATGTGAGTGGGGGCGGGTGGGGGTCTGCAAGCACCATGAGGGGGCCACTCAGCGGCCACAGTAGCCACTGCTACAGAGAGGGAACTGGAGGGAGTGGAATCCTGCACTCTTCTGTCTCTAATGTGTGTTTTTGATTTTCTTGTAAAGATGATTCGTCGATTTTATATAACATCAAAATCCAATAGAGAAACACAGAAAGCCAAGAAAAATCTGAAAACAGACAAAATCCCTTAGAGACTCACCAGAGACCCCCAAAACCATCCCGGGAGGCATCCCAAATTTCCAACACTCAAAATGCCAGTGGCAGGAACCACTCCTCTGTCCCCCAGTCATCCCCTGACTGGCCAGTTTTCAGCCAAATCACTTCTGACAAATCGCACGTACCCTCCTCCTCAGCTCTGCAGCACCCTCTCCACTGCAGCTGCCTCCAGACCACGGCAGAGGACCTGAGTCAGCGCAGCGAACGGGCCGCCTCCTTCGCTCACCTCCCCTTGCTTTCGTCTTGTCCCCACACCTCTGAGCTGGGCTAAGTAGACAGTGGCATAGAGGTGGGTGGGACTTCAAGGACATCTCTCCAAGGGCAAAGGGCCAAGGGTGAGGGTCAAGGGACGGACAACAGGGGCCCTCACTCCCTGTCAGAGGAAAGAACCCGTATACTTCCCCATGCTCACTGGGAGGAGTGGGGGGCACCGGGGTGAACAGTGGCCAAGCAAGAGCTTGTGGCAGCCTCCAAATCCCCATGTGAACAGGGTTTTTGACAGAGCAGGGAGGGAGGCAGGGGGCCATTTCCCCACCACCGCCAGGGGGCAAAGGTGGAGGCACTGGACTTCACCCGGAGAATGAGGCTCTGAGGTTGAACCCACAGAAGGTCTGGAGCCCGTGGGTGGGAGGACCCATTCGCAGAAGCCCTGCCCTGGACAGCTGGGAAGGAGGCTGGGGACAGAAGAGATGCTTGTTCCAGTCCCCGGGAACGCCAAGATTCGGTTGTATAAGTGAATAAATATGGGGGGAGTGGGGAGGGTCCGGGGTGAGGGGCAGCGGGCAGCCCGTGAGCCAAAGGCCTTGGGCATGTGTGTAACAGGGAAGTAGGATGGGCTCAAGGCTGCCTGGCAGGAAGGTGAGGATGTCAGTGCGCATGCCCAGGGCCACCAGGGAGGGTGCTGGGAGGACAGGGCCTGGGGCTCCTTTGCCCCAAGGTCAGAGAGAGAAAAAGTAGCAGCAATAGGTAATTTCAAATGTCCAAACTGGCAACAGGGTGGGGCCCCTGCAGGCTGCTTGCAGCCCCCCACTCTACCAAGGGTGACTCGTGTTCTCTTACCCAGTATGCTATTCCTGGGCAGCCACCCCAGGAGGGGCACTCTACCAGTCTGAGTCAAAGCAGGAAGGGAGGGGGTGCTGAAGAGAGCCCCAAACGGGGCACCTCTTTTCCTCCCTCCCCCTCAACCACCCGTCCTCAGACTAAAGGGGCCCAAAAGAAATGGGAGAGGTGGGACCAGTTCAGAACATGACAAGCAAATGCGACAGCCAAGCCACTGACTTTTAACACTGTAATGGGCATGCAGAGTGCCCCGCCATGCCCCTTCCCAGAAGCTAAGCTGGTGGGAACTGGAGGGACTGGAGAGAAGTAGGAGCCAGGAGAAGAGCCTTTCCCCTGGAAGGACGGGGCCCTTGTGGCTTTGGGCAGGGTTTGCCAGGGAGAGGAAACAGGGGAGGGTAAGGTATGGGGGGCCGCTCCCCCTTCCCCACGTTCCCGCCCCCTCCCACACACAGGTTTCGACCCTTCTGGTGCCTCCCACCACCACCACCCCACCCCACCCCGCCTGGCTGGGCTGAGGCGGGGGTATGGGCCAGGCGCGTTTAGACTGTGGCGCTCAGCATGGCCTCCGTCTCTGGCAAGATCTTGTTCTGGTTAGAGTCCAGGCCAAAAAACTTGACACTGAGGCCATCCACGGGGTGCAGGACAGGGACCAAGGTGATGCGGGGGAAGGTCCGGGTGGCCAGCTCAAAGCGGCTCGTGCTAGCCAGCTCCACCGCCAGCACCTTCAGGAACAGCTTGGCCAGATGCTTGCCCAGGCAGGTGCGGACGCCGCCGCCGAACGGGAGGTAATGGAAGCGGCCATCCTTGTCTTCACTCCGTGCCTGACCAAAGCGGTCTGGATCGAATACGTTCACGTCTTTGAACACAGGTGCCGTGTCGTGGGTATCCCGGATGCTGTACATGACACTCCAGCCTTTGGGAATCTGAAAACCCTGGAGGCAAAACGGGGGCAGGGGTGAGGTACGGTGGTGAAAGCCGGAGGAGGTCTGAGAGAGGGCAGATGACTTTCTGCCTGCCAGCCCCACAGGTCCAGATGTTTCTAGAGGCCCGCCACTGTGGCACCCCCTCCCCCCACAGCTCCCCCCTCAGCATGTTAGTCCTGTCTCTTGTTTACAGATGTCCACATGCAACTTGCATTATGATACCCGGGTTAGCTTCATCTGACCCAGCATCTGGGTACTGAAGTACCCTGACAAAAAGGCTGTTCTTTCCCAGCAGCCAGCCCCCACCCCCAAAGCAATGTTCCCAAGGATCCCCAAAGCCCCAGCCCCGCAGGGCCCAGCCTCACATCAAGCTCGAAGGTCTGCAGCACGGTACGGTAGCCACCAGAAATGGGTGTGAAAAGGCGCATAACCTCCTTGATGACACAGTCCAGATAGTGTAGCCCGCTGAGGGTGTCGAGGCGCAGTGTGCCCTCACAAGGGCAGCCGCCACTGTGCAGGATGCCCTGGGCCCGCAGCTCCTCTCGCAGCTTCTCCAGCACGGCTGGGTGCTTCAGCAGCTGCATGATGAGCGAGGTGCTGGCACTGGCAGTGGTGGCGTAGGCTGCGAAGATCAGCTCCAGAGTCCCGTCCTGCAGCGGCAAGGAGAGAGGCATCGTCGATGATCCAGCGCCGGGGCAGCCCCGCTCCACCGGCATCCCCCGTGCCCCAGGCTCATCTAGCTGGGCCTGCCTCTGAGCCTCATGTTGCTGCGGCATCCGGGCCACAACAGACACAGGTCACGGGGCCAGTCCCCCGGCTGGGCAGGAGAATTAGCTGCTACAGTCCAGGGCAGAGGCACGAGCCTGGAAGTCCCTTGGGGCAGGGCTGCTTCTCCCTCACTGCTGGATTCCAGAGCCAGCCCCAGCAGGCCTAATCAGCGCAGTGAGCTCACAGAAGAAAAAGGACAAATCTCAAGGAGCCAGGCCCGGCGTGGCGAGCAGGGTGGGTCTACACTGGGGCTTTCCAGCTGGCAGCCGCAGCCCCTTCCTCCATCCCCAGGACATCTAGTAGGAGGTCAGGAGTACTGATGGGGTTGGGGAGGTGACCTGGGACCACACCCACGGGGACGTGTGCTGGGCTGAGCGGAGGTGGCCCCCAGAAGCCTCAGACCCCACCAGGGTTCTCAGGGGAGCAAGACACCTGGGCACTGGGTACCCCAGGGAAAGGTCTCAGCGGGTCACCTCATCCCGAACCCTGTATTTTACACGTGAAGGCCTAGAGAGGAGAGGGAAGGGACCTGGGTTTCTGACTCGCCGTGGCACCACCTACGAGGCACAACACTTCTTGTCAAACGGGAAGGTCACTGGAGTTCCTAATGGCTCGCTAGGGGGAAAGCAGGAGCCAGACTAAGGGTGAGCACAGACAGTGGGGATGGCGGAGTCTTCAGGAAGTCTCCGTGGGCACCCGGCAGGCATGCGGGTGGCAGAGTCGAGACCAGGATGAGTTGATGAATCCCTCCTCAGGTGGTACACCCACCCTAAAAAGGGGCGAGCAGGAAGCCCTTCTTGGAGGCCAGTGTGGACAGTCATGGTGTTGGCAGCCTGACTGGGCTTAGCGAGTACCAGACAGGCTGGGAGACGGTATTGAGTGCCACCAGTTTGAAAAGGCTGGTAGGATGGGAGGAGACCCGAGTCAGGTCCAAATCTCCCTGTTCCTCCCCAAGGACTGAGGCTGCCCTCACGCAAGTGGCTTCCCTTCTGGGGACCATGATGCACTGAAATGGTGAATACCGGGAGGTGGAGGGGGTCGAGGGGTCGAGGGGGTCAATGAAGCCACCGACACCAAATGTGCGCGGGGTTTCTAGGGGCCAATTTTCAGTACCTTTTCCTAAATGGTGGATGGGATTGTGGGTGGGATGGAGAGTGTGGGTGCACAGAAGCTGTGGTGGGGGGCGGTACCACCCACTGCGGATGCTTCTCGTCTATCCCCATCAGTCTGCACACTAAGCAGATGGGGACACGGTCTCTTTTCTGGTCAAGTGCCCCAGCCCCAAGCAGTGAGGGCCACCACAGCTGGTCAGGGACAGTCCCTGTGGGCTGGGAGCAGAAGGGGTAGAAACAGAGCATGGGGCGCTCGCGCTGACCACTGGGGAGGCCGCCCCCACCTTCAGCTCCTGCATGGTCATCTCCTTCCCATGCTCCTTGCTGCTTTCAATGAGGATGTCCAGTGCGTCTGAGTAGTCCTTGCCCTGGGTGCACTGCAGCTTCTCCCGGATCGCCTTTTCTAGGCCCTTCTGCAGGATCTGCCGTGCCTGAATGCCCTGAGGGGAGAAGGAGGCCACCTGGTCACCAAAGAGAAAGGGCCCCCTCCCACGGCCGGGAGGGCCACGGGGAAAGGACTCCTCTGAGAACTTCCCACCTAAACTGCAGAGACCAGCAGGTGAAGGCTCCACCCCCACCCTTCTGCTGACACCTCCCCTCTGTCTGTGTGACCAGCGAGCGTCTTAGTGGTCGGCCACCATCTCACTCCAAGTGGGTTCATGGATGCCCCATCTCCTCTCCTCCCAGGCCCTGGGTGCTCACCCGTCGGTAGCCGCTAAAAGGCAAGTCGACAGGCAGGGAGAAGACGTTCTCAACAAACTGCTGGTAGACTTCAAAGAGGTGTCCAAGGTCCTCTTCAGGGATGCTGAAGCCCAGCAGCACACGGATGGCCATGCGGAAGGTGAGCTTCTGCGCCTCCTGGTACACGTTGATGGCCTCAGGGCAGCTGCTCCAGGCGCGAAGCGTGTCCTGGATCACCAGCCGGATCTTAGGCAGGTAGTTCTGCAGGGCCTCATGACTGAAGATCTTGGAGAAGACCTGGAGGGCAGGGGACAGTGGCAAGAGGCGCTCGTGCCGGCCCTCTCGGCTCCCAGGGGGCCCCGCTGAAGCATGCAGCCAGGACGGTGGCCACAGAGACTCTGGGTCCCCCCTCCAATCGAGCTCTGCTTTCCAGCTCTAGACACAAACACCTGCTGGCTCGCCTACCTCCAAAGCCCCTCCTGCTGCCTGTGCCTTGAGGCAGAACCAGGGGAAGGACAGGCTTAAAACACCATTCGTGGGCACTTTTATTCAAAGTCAGGACCTTCCATGTCATCACATGGAGATGTGAGCTGTCCTCTCCTTTCCTGACGCCCAGAAAAGCATGCGCTCCAAACAGTGGCAAAGCCCTGCAGACTGGGCAGTCCAGCCGCCAGCAGGTCTGCAGGCGATGTGGCTGTATCAGCTTTGGGGAGCATGCAACGGAGTGTTGGGCAGGGCTGCGGAGGAGCTGGCCCCTCCACGACAGGAACCCATTCCCAAACTCCCCTGCCACAGGGGCAGAAGCGCCCAGGAGGAGTGGAACACAGGTGCAAGGACTGGCCAAGGAAGAGATGGAAAGCACTAGGTGGCTCTTCTTCTCCACTGATGGGAGGACAAGAGAGTCTGAGGTTAGACCACAGGCAGGACTTCCTGAGACCAAATTGCTCTTATTCCCTGGGAAACACCTACTGGGTGCAGATCCCAGGCCATCTGTTAATAGCTGTGCCACAAAAATGTCTTCAATGTGGCCAGGCCTGGAGGCAGGGGAATGGGGGCAAGATCTTCCACCCCAAAAGATCACAAAGCCAAACAGAAGCTCTTTTAGTGCCCTGCATCTTCCTGGTCCATTTTAAGTAGCCAGTGAGTCCCTATTTCCACCTTCTCTGCTTTCCATCCTCCTGCTTCCTCAGTAACACCCTCTGCCCCCTCCTTACCCAAATGCCCCAGCACAGTTTTCACACTGGTGACCACAGTGTACAGGAGAGGGGACAACGTTAGTTTATTTACTGATCGCCTGTGTGTCCCACTCATAACCAACATCCTCTACCCCCTCCAAGAGTCCAGAGCAGAAGGGGGTACCCCCACCAACAGCGAGGGAAAGGTCACTGGGGAAGGCAGAGAGGGGAGGGACAGCACAGGAGAAGGAGACAAATATTCCTCTAGCCCCCCTACCCTGACCCACGCAAACCACACACACGCGCTCACCCTCCCCTCCTGTCCCCCAAACACAACCACCGCACAAACTGTAAATGTGAGAATTTCCCCTGCAGTCAGCTCGAGGAGGAAAAGGTAACATTTTCCTGGCCTCAGCCCTGCATGGCTAATGGGAGGGCTGGTTTGCAGAAATAACAGTGCTGGCCCTTCAGTGGCCCAGCCAGGCATTCACAATAGCACTTTCATTCCGAAATTCCCGGTGGGCAGACGGAGGGAGGGAAGGAGGCCAGTGAGGGGCAGAGAAGCCAGCACTGTTCGGGGCTGCTCTTGCTATTAAGGGACAGCTGAAATGTAAAAGGATGATGGGAAGTGGCCAAGGGCAGCCGGGGCCTGAATGGGTCACTCACACCTTGCTCAGTTGTGGGGGTCCCAGGAATATACAAGGGAGACTTCAGCTGCTACTCTCTTCAGAGGGCTATGGATAAAGGCAGTGTGCTCTCTGCCTCAGTACCCCCCCCCCCCCCCCCCACACACACACCCCCTGTCCTCAGGATTCCAAGTTTGGCTCTTATGGGGTGGGAATGGGGCCCAGTCCCCAAAGCCCAGTGCTGGCCAACTAAGGGCCCTTACAAAACAGCAAAATGCTCATGAGGGAGGCAGAAAGATACTCTGTGGCTACCAGGCCTCAGTGAGGAGACTGGAGGTGGGGGCAGGCAGGGAGAGGGAGGCCACACCTGGCCTAGGACCAGCCAGTCCAGGGCCAACTGAGTACTGTCATGGAGGGGATGGGGCCAAGGGCTGGCCAGGCTCCCAGCACCAGGAGACCTGAGCCCAAAGGTGGGCATGTGGCGGTGGATAACAGGACAGAGGCCATGCAGACCTAGACTGGTCAGTGTCAAAGCCAGCTACGCTCTAATATGCAATGGGGTGGTGACTCTGCAAAGGCAGACTGGGCATCCAGAGACCTAAGTTTTAACTTACCAACTTACTGTGTGACCATGGCCTAATCATGCCCCCCAGCCTCAGTTTCCTCATCTATAAAATGGTGAGGTTGAAAGACGTGAGCTCTGTGGTTCCTTTCAATGTACAGAACACATAAATGCCAGTATCTATGTGTCCCAAAGTAGATGCCGTCCCCTTGAAAGAGTCCAGAATCTGGCACTGCATGAGTCACCTGGTAAGGGCCTACCAGGCCCCCATGCACGCACTCCAAGCAGGCTACAGTGGCCCAGGAGGGGCCATCCCAGGGTTACCAAAGGAGGCGCTCTGAGGACCCCCACTGCACTTTAAGGACTGGCCAGATGTGACCCATTGAGGAACCCTGCCCTGCCCTGCCCTGCCCTGCCCTGCCCCAAAGGTTACATTCCCTGCGCCCTCTAGTGATGGCCAGATGAACTGCTCCTTCTCAAACCTTGGGGTCCAAAGAGGGCAGGAGGACCAAGGGGGATTTGGGACTAAGCAGATGGACTCCGAGGGTAAGAGGTCCACACGTCACCTCTAGGAAGACAGGGGTCCTTATGGGGAGCTGGGAATGATCCCCAGGAAACCCTCTGCCACCCTGCACCTGCAAGCCTCTGGGCTGGGGCTTCTGAAAAGGGAATTACAGCCAGGTCCAGGGTTCTTTTCTTGACCCTGACTCATCAGTGGCAGCCAGCAGGTCACTGTCCTCTCTAGGGATTAGTTTCCCCACTGGTTTCATGAGAAGTTTAACTGGATGTTCTTGGGTCCCTTTCCACCTAGCCATCTCACCCATGATTCCTCTCAGAGCCCCCCGAGGCGGAGAAAATGGCCAACCGAGAAGTGAAGCAAAGGGAGATTGCAGGCGCTCTGAGCCCAGAGGACTTTGCTCAGAGGTCATACAGTCCATGCCCCTGCTTCCAGCCCAGCGGCTCCACAGACATCAGGGCCTCCCAGGCACCAGGAAAACTCCCGGACCTCATCTCTGGGTTGGTGCCCAGGATTAACAACGAGGGCACTTCCCACAGCCGAGGCAGCCCAGAAACCACCACCCACCACAAAGGCCAGGAGGAGGCGGAGGTGCTGGCCAGGGCACAGGGAGGCCTGGGCCACGTCGGGCGGGCGGGGTCAGGACTCGGGCACACGGGAAGGCGCCCAGCGGAGCTGCGCGGTGTGAAGAGAGGAAGGGTTCCCAGCCCCCAGAGCCGACTGCCCTGACCACAGTTGTAACAGGAGCCACAGCTGCTTTGTTTCCCTCTGGGGCTTCCCTAGGAATTCCCAAAAGTGAGCCAAGAATGTTGGACAAAGGTCATCGGGAACCAGCTGTGGCCCAGGCAAAGCCCTGCAGAGGGAACAGCAGGTATGGACTTCCCACCAGGGTTGGTGCCGGGACAGAGAAAGCAGAGTGTCACGGGAGACCTGAGAACTCCCAGGCACAGACGCGGCGCGGCGCAGGATGGGCTCTCGCCTTGGAGGGCGTGCCTGGAAACCCTCCATCACCCCCATCAGTTTCTCCAGCAAAGCAACTGGCTCAAGGGTCTACATCCTTGTTCTCGCTCTCTCCCCTGAATGGGAGGGGGTAGGGGTGGGACACCAGGGGGCTTGTCAAGGTTCAAATCCTCCATAATTGTTTCTATACATGCTTCCCCCTCCTGCCTCTCACATAGAGCCCTTGGGAGAGGAGTGGCACACTGGAGCCCCAGAGCCCTGCTTGCTGACCTGCTCAGCCAAATAGCCTCCCCCTTCTCGAAGCTGGTGGCCATGAATGCACAGACGGACAGACAGCCTCTGGACAGGCAGCCTCGGGAGCGGGAAGAGTCAGAGAGCGAACCTACTCCTTGGGCCAGTGACTCAGACTGGGAGGAATGGAAGCGGCTGCCCAGGAGGGTGGGGGCCTGGGCAGGCCACCCCGCCAAGCCAAGCCACCGGAGCCACAGCCTGCGGAGTGGAAAGAATAACAGAGGGCAGGCAGCCTCCGAGGCAGCTGTCCGCACAGCACAGGGGTGACGCCAAGGTGTGTACTTTAAACTCAAGTAAGGGGGAGGACAAGAGAGGACGTCATCTTCCCAGATGCCTGGCATTTCCACTGGGCCTGGACTTCACCTTGGCGGCCTCCTGAGCCAATCCCGTCTCAGCCCCTCTGGTTGGGAGGGGCCAGCCCAGACCCCCCAGCCTGGGCATGCTTCTGGGTTCCCAGCACCTACGGGAACAGAGGGTCTGTCCCCCCAGTTGACTCTAGCTCTAATTCCGTCCCCAGGACAAAAGCACATGGTGGGGGAGGGAGAGCAGCCCTTGGCAGATACCTAAGCCACAGAATCTGAAGGTTTAGGTTTGCCGAGACACTCATCCTTCTTCCAGCCATAGCAAAACCCCCTCAGAAAGCTGAGGCCCAAGGGGGGAAGGGTTCTCCCAATGTCACAGTCCAGACCATGACTGGCCACACTCACCAACGGCAGGGAACCCCATCTCCCACCACTCCAAACCCCACGAGCCACCCTCTTACCAATCCCGGGAGCTCTGAATTTATCTAAGAACCCTAAGGGGCCGCTTCTTTATGGCCAAGTTTATTCTAAGGAAAAGGCCAGCTGTTCTGGTTACTATATTCCTGCTCTCAGCATTTCTCTTCCCCTAGAGGCACGCTCTTAACCCCGGTCTTTCAGCCTGGGCCATCCTGAACAGAGACAATGGCTGGCACAGGGGGCTCAGGGCCAGAGCAGACCCCAGCCAAGCCTCCCCTCCCTGTCAAGGCCAGAATTGTCTCCCAAGGCTGGAAAGTGAGCAGACACCCCCAGCATCATAGCCTTGGACCCCTCCCTGCCCTGGGAGGACAGAGAAAGGAGGGAAACGGGAGAGGGTGAACCCTACACCCAGCCAGCCCACCCGCCCACTGCCTGGCACAGGGCAATTGGAGGGAGGCACCCACTCCCAGGCGCCCTGGCGGCTGGCTGGCCATGGGCTCCCTCCCCCGTTGACCTTCAGAGAGATCCGCTCCTGCCACCCGCGCCCTCGGCGGCCCCTGCACCCACCGGCTACTGCTACAGTAACTTTTGAGTGAAGGACTTCTGGGGCTGGCAGAACAAAGGCTGTGTGCCTCTGCCAAGGGGCTGGGGCAGAGCTCTCAGTAGCGGGGCTGCCTGGCCGCACCACCCACCCTCCTATCCAGTACAGGTGGGAACCTCTGCCCCGAGCTGAGCCTGGGGAGACTTTGCAGCCAGAGGTTGTGCACTGGTCCAAAGGCCATCTAGAGCATGTCTGGGCTGGCTTCCCTAAAGACCCCCAAACCCTCCTGGCTCTGCCCTCCTGCTGAAGCACTTCCTGGACTCTCTACCCCAACACAGACTGCAGGGTGCACAGGGTCTCTGAGAGGGGTGCAGTGATCCTGAGCCTGACCTCCACTCCTACCCAAGACAGGGCCCAAAGGCCGGGTCATTGAGGGATGGTGTGCGGGGAGGCAGGGCTTCTTAATCCTTACCTCCAAAGCCTGGGGAGCTGCTCCCCCACCTCAGCCTTGGGTACAGAAGTCCCCGTAGCCAGGAGTCTGAGATGAAGGGAAAGCCATGCCTGCCATCTCCAGGACACCAGAAATCCAGGATTAAGTGCATTCTCTGGGATGCTCTCCAAGTTTGGGGAGGGCTACTACTGTCTGAGGTGCCCTGAAACTGCTGGCCCTCTGGTGCCGAAAGGCTCGGCCCTATCTCCAAAGGAAAAGAGGAAATGCCTGATTCTGGTGTGTGGGGCTGTGCACTGGAGCTTCTGTAATTACCCCCAACTCCTCCTCTGTGTGTCTGACAACTCTCCCCCCAATCTCCCCTACCACACTCCATCCACCCTTCCAGGGTAATTACCCCAGCCTCTGCACACAAAGAAGGATGACATCCCTCCCCCATTATCAGAGACACCCCAGACCCCTGGGGGAAGGGAAGTTACAAAAGAGAAGGGACAGAGTCTGAGGTAGTGGCTATAGGGACTCAGGCCTGGCTCTCCAAGAGAGGATTTTGTTAGACTGGGCAAGACTTTCTGGACTTTCTCCCTAACAATCCCGCCCATCTTGGCCCTAGACCACCAGGACAGCAGGGCAAACACCTGGAGTGCAGCGATGGCTATAAGGAGCCCCTTCCCAGCACATCTGGTCGGACCTCCCAGAGAAGGGGTGGGCCACCAGCCCCAATGGAAACAGTGACGCTCCTAGTTCCCCGCCAGCCAGCCAGGCCCCAGCACACCTGGGCTGTACTTCCTGTGAGGACATCCTAACCAGGCCTGGGCCCGGCCCAGCGGCCTGCTCACCAGCCAGGTCCCTGACTACAGAGTGGACTGGATAAGGCATCGTGCGTGGCACACCCCCGACCTTGCCCGGGCTGGGTCCACTGGGCACTGGGGTCCTGCAGACTAGCCATTTTCTCCAGGACCAACAATATGCCCCTGAATATTCATTCTCTTCTCGTCCCTCCAGCTAGATCCTACTTCTTGAGGCAAAGACCGAGATTCCCACTTCTGTGTCTACCTAGTCCAAAGCCTTCAATTTGGCTCAGCAAACCTAAGTTTATGGAAAATTGAATTAGAGAGATTGGGGGGGGGGGAGAGACACCCTTTCGCCCACCCACTTACCATAGGACCCATATAAATGCCACATAGCAAGCATCAACTAGTACACACACTGGGAGCGCCCTGCCCTGGGTTCTCAAGCCTCTGTCAGGATGAACTGCTTTCTGGCCACCTCTTATCCCCAAGGAACTAGAGAATAGGGTACCCCAAAGAGGGAGACCATCAATGTGGCTCTCAGTGTCAGGCCCCACCCCTGCTCCATCCCTATCCTTCCCTCCCCCTTCCTTCCCTGTGCATTCCTCTGGCAGCATTCATCATGCCTTCTCCTTCCCTCCTCCCAAATGGACAATGTGGGCCAAACCTGGGGGCTTTCCAGGGAGCCCTCCCCACCTGGAGGCCCACAGCCAAGTTGGGCACCGGGTGGGTGGAACCACAAGGCAACAGCAAGCCCTCTGCACCCCCAGGGTCTCACACTCTGGTCCTGATCCAGCCTTCTCCTTCCTCCCCACCCCCAACCACCAGTTTCTGGCAAGCCCAGGTGGGCAGGACTAAGTAGGGCTCTGCTTGGTGGCCCAGAAACAACTCATCTCACCGATGCCTGTGTTGCATGCCCTGTCCTGCCCTTTCTTTGCTTCCTGACCTGGTTCAAGTCCCTCAAACTCTCCAAGCCTCTGTGTCCCCTTCTGTGAGAAGGGGATGATAACTTTTCTTGTCAAAGCCTCTATAAAAATAAAATGAGGAAGCAGACGTATTCCCCGGAGCTGGGTTTCTGAATCTCAGGCTGTCTCCTCACTCTTTGGAACAGGCTTTGGGTGGAGTCATAAAGACTAGGAAAAAAATAATGGCCAGCACGTTTTATAAGCCCCCCATTCCTGAGCCTATAGCCCCCTCCCAGCCACTCCTCATCTGCCCCCTGGAATTGTTAGCTGCTTCCTGCTCCAGTGAGGCAGATGGGGAAGACTACTTCAGGAGCCCCTTCCAGTACGTGCTTTATCGCGGGGCGGGGGGGGGGGGAGTTGTCTCTTCCATCAGATTTTGCCGCCTTTTGTCTGCTTGTCTGCTATGGAGAACTACTCGTCGCAAGCAGTGCAGAAGACACCAAATACTACAAGATTAATTCCTACGTTCACAAAGACCACTCCACATGGCCTTCTGGCCGAGAGGGCTGCTCACCGTTACCCGCCCCCCTCCCAGACTCTGCCACTCCTCCGGGAAGATCAGAGGCTGCCTCTCTTCCCTTCAGGTTTCAAACCTGGATGAGTCCTCTGACCTAATGGAAAACACAGAGGGAGGGGAGGTCGTGCAGCGCCCCCTCACTGGCGGCTTTAAGCCCGCCGGCCGCCGCCCCGCCCGCCGGCGGCTCAGCTTTCGGGTTACTGCAGTTCAAACAGCACGTGCCGCCCGCGCTCTGAGCCGCGGCTGCGGCGGCGCAGCCCTGTGAGGGGGCGGGGAGGCTCGCTCCGTGCGCGCTGGCTCGCCTCCTCCGCGCCTCTTGCAGGCGCTCGGGAAATCCACAGGATAAACACCCACTTTCTCTTCCTCTTTATGGGAGGGGGTAGGTGCACTTTGATCCCCTGCAGCGCCGCCGCTGCTCTCCCACCCCTCGCCCTTCCTCCGCCATCCAGACTGGTTCTCGCAGCAGTGGCCCAGATTTCATCTCACCCCTCCCGGGCGAGGCTCCGCGACCGTCTCGCACAGGGTGCTCGGCTCCCAGCGCTTGCCGCGTCTACCTTAATCCAGCAACCGGTGGCAGAAAGGCTAGGTTTGGTTTTACAAAGATCCGTTTCCAGGCCTTGGGAGCATGGACCACCATCTGCCCTTTTCTCTTTTTAATTTTGTGGAGCACCGCGAGGACAGGCGTTGGACGCCCTAGTCCCTGCCCGTTCAAGCTCCCTCTAAACCACTTCCCTCACCCCGAACAGCCAGCCCCCCCCCCTCCCCGGGCCTGGTAGTGGGAAAGGCACAGCTAGCCAACAAACGGGCAGACCCAGAGGAGGCCTGTCAGCTCTGGAACCTAGACCGCAGACTTCGAGGCACGGAACTGCGGGGTCCTCTGGCATGGTGTACAGATGGGGTCTCAGATTCGAGTGGGGGCGTCTCCCGGGCTCTGCGAACTCCTTACACCCGAGGCTGGTACAAAGAAGAGGGTCGGAGCAGGGTTGCGGGGTTCTTAACCCAGAGCGCTTACCTTGCGCTTGTTGCGGTGGATGTCGCCGATGGAGTTGGCCACTGTGTTTGGGCCCAGCAGCATGCGCGTGCTGCGTGGCCACTCAGTGCTCACGAGGTGGTGCTCGCCCATGAGGATCTTGCGCACGTTTTCTGCGCCAGTCACACGGATCAGCGGCCGCCCCAGCAAGTGCGTCTTGAACACGTTGCCATACTTCTCCCTCCTTGAGGACTGGAAGCCGGAACCCTGCGGGAGCCACGGAAAAAAACCTCTCTCAGAGCGTACATCTCCAGATGAGATGTCCGGGAAGCCCAGCCTGAAGGGCTCGCGGGGGAGGGGCGGAGGACCCCGCTCAGGCCACCAGTCCCCTGCTCCCCCCCCACACACACACACAAACACGCACGAAGGTTTTATTTTTCATAGCATGCACAAGAACTAGGAAGTAGGGCCTAGAGGATAATAAATAATGCAAGGAGGCGGGAGGCCCGGGGCACCCCTCGGGAGGGTGTTTAGTAATGACTTGCGGGAGGAAAAAGGTATCCCGGACCGCGGGACCCAAAGCTAGAGCCTTCGCCCCCCTCCCCCTCGCTTCCCCGCCCCACGCTCCGGAGCCTCTCGGAATAAATATTTCCAGGCTCTCGGCCACGGGCTGGCGAGACCCCGCGGGGTGGCCGCAGGCCAAAGATTATTTATAGCGGTGAGCGGTCGGTGCCCGGAGGCAGTCACTACAGAAGGGGGTTGGGGTTTCCTCCGTTCTCAGGGGTGGGCCGCGAAGGGACCCGGCGGCCCTCTGAGGGATCTGCAAGGTAGGGTCACGGGCCGAGAGCCGCGATTTTCCTAATGCAATGTGCCCTGGGAATAACTGAGAAGGATTTTCGTCGCCGCCCAGGAGTTTGGAACGGGAGCTCCGAGGAAGGCGCTTCCCGCGGGGCGGGGCAGGGCGGGGCGGCTGTCTCAGGTAACCGGATCCCCGGCGGCGGCTGCGGCGGCGCGAGCCCAGGACGCCTAGGCCCCAGCCCCGGCCCCGGCCCGGCTCTCAAAGGAGCTGGCTGAGCGGGCCCCCGCGCGGGTACCGGAAACCGAGGGGACCTCCGAGGGGCGGGGGCAGGGGCGTCCCGCTCACCTTTGACGTAGGCACTCGCCACCCCACCCCACGTTAACCCTTATCCCGCCGGGGCGGCACCGGGTGGGAAGGGGAGGGGCGCCACCTGTCCGGCCGTAGCTCTCGGCCGCCAACGAAGTGCGGATGCGGACTCCAGACCTACCGAGTCACGCACCCCCGAAGGGACACCTCGGCGGTCCCCTTTTCCTAGGTTGGTCTCTCTCCTCACTTTCCTTTCTTCTACGGAAAAGTATTCTCCAACTAGATGTGTACACACCCCAGCACAGCCGAAAAGTGACTCTGCAGAACCCGGATCCCTAATCACTTTTCCACATGCGCCTCCGGCCCCGGCCCGGGCGCGCGACAGGGAGAGAGCCCAGAGCGCCCGCGCCTCCAGGAGGGGGGCTGGGTCGCGGGGGGACGCCACCCCACTCCCAGGTTGTGGGGGAGGAGAGAGCTCTCCGACCCTGCCGCGGTTCTAGACGGCGTCTATCCCTTTAAGAGAATTCTAGGCGAGGATGGAGGTGCGACCAAGGGGGGTTGAGGAGCGGGATTCCCTCCCTCCGTCTGCTATACCCGTCTCGCTCGCTCCGTCTGACTCTCCGTCTCTCCTCTCCTTCTTTTCCTCTGTTTTTCTTTTCTTTCGACACAAAAGTTGGGTTGTGAATTTTCCGAGGTCGCCGCCGCCTCTCTCCCGCCGCCCCCCTCCCGCCTCTGATCTGCCTAACTATAATTAAAGTGCGTTTTTTGTGGCATTAATAAAGAGTTATTTGTCCGCCGTTTCCACGGTCTTCACAAAGAGGACTTTCATAGGGGCGGCCGCTCGGGCCGCGAGTCCAATTTATACAAAAATGTTGTATTTTTAGCCCTAGGCTCTGTTTAGATGGCGCACGGTGGAAACGGAGAGCCCTTGGAGGTCTCCCCGTAAAATCTGATAAATGACTCCAAAAAAATAAAGCTGGGATTCAGAGGGCTCCCATTAACCCCTTCAGCGGCCTCCTACAGGCATCCCCCATGTCCCTCCCACGGCGGAGTCTAGGGCCCTGCGGGCTGATGGAAGGGGAGGTGTAGGCCTGCTTCCCTTTTCCCATCTTCTGTGCGGGTTGGACACGGAGCCCCAAGGGGACCTTGTGGGATTCAGAGAAAAGGTCAGGGGGACATTGGATGGCAGAGAAAGGTCAGGAAAAGGAGGTGGGGACAGACCATGCATTCCGCATATTGGCTCTAACAAGACAGGAGCTGATGCCCGTATGAGGTATTTTATTTCCTAAATTCTCGGCCAAAAGCCTAGACCACCGCCGCAGTTAACTCTTTAAGTGTGGCGGCAAGGGAGAGGCTCTGGGGATTTCTCTGCGGAGGGTAGCCCTATCGGTGAAAGCGAACCCCTCCCCACTGCCTGAACAACCCCAAAAGAGATGGGCCGATTCTGGGACTTGGGAAGACCACACCGTAGAGGAAACGCGCGTCACCCTCCTCGCCCCCGCTCCGCTGTCACTTGGCGCGGGGCGGGGCCGGCAGGGTGTAAGTGTGGTGCGCGCGCGGATTGCACGCGTCTGTTAGTTTCAAGCCTTGCTTTCGCACTTCTAAACCCACAGGTCTCTGCGTTCGCCTCCCGCCCCACCTCTCCCTTGCCCGGGTTGTCTTCAGGACATTCATGCTTCTCTTAACCGCCATCAGCATCCTCCGGACAAACACCGGTGCACACGCGAACACGACACACTTCCCGCGGTTGACCAGAGGCGTCCCCCACCCCCAAAAGAAAAAATTCTGTGTGTATCCACTTGCAAACGCGTTTGTCTAGCACTTGACGAGGTTAATTCCAGGTTAATCTCCCCATTACCTTACCTGAGTCTGGTTCCCGATGCGCCCACCCCCATTATCACCAGCAGCGTGAGGTCGTGAGGCGTCTGGCAACAAACATGCACACACTCTATGGATCTCACACACCAATCCCAGGTTTCTCTCCCTTGCTACAGTGTCCCCACCCAATAAGCAAATAGACCCTTTTCCTTAAAAGCCAAGAACCCTCGAGTCTCAGGCTTTTCATCTTCTTTGGGGTACCTCCTTCCCTCCCCACCACAAATACACACGCTCTCTCCGACCTTGGACCAAGGCAGTTGTACCTAGCGCAGCCGACGACGCGGCGGGAACACAGCCGGGGGTCTAAAAGGGGCACTTCTGGGTGCCATTGGCTCCTTCGTCTCCCCGACTCAGTGTTCGGGTCCCAAGGACACCGCCAAAGCCCCGGAAGCCGACGGCGACCGGGGCCTGGAACGCGAAGGGGAGACGAAATCGGCTCACGACCTGACGCCCCCTCTGGCCCGCACCGCGCGGGGAGCCCACTAGACCCCTGCTGGGTCGCCAGCGACGGGGGAAAGTCAATCTTGGGAGCCCTCTGGGGTCCTGGGACCTCTCGTATCAACTCCCAAAATTTGCGCACCGGGCGCCAGTGGGCTCCAAACCACGCCGCAGGCGGGCAGGAGAAGCCCGGACGGCACCCGCAAAGAGGAGGGAAGGGGCGGGGCGGGGACCCGTGCCTTCAAGCTCCGGGCGCCCCCTGGCCAGCCCGCGGCTCCCTCCTCCCGGCGCTCGCCGCTAGCGGACCCCGGAGAGCATCCGAGCGAGTGCGCCCTTACCTGTAGCAGCCAGTGGCCGGTCTCTCCGATGAGCGGGAAGCCCATGGAGCCCTTGGGGATGGGCAGCTTGCAGCTCTTGTCGCGGGTGGCAGCCCAGCGCAGCTGCCACAGCTGCTGCGACACGGCCAGCAGCAGCGTCACCGACACCAGGCACGCGGCGAGAGTGGCCAGCGCCGACACCAGCTCCAAGCCCTCAAAGAGCATGTTGGCGGCCGCTCGGGGGATTGGCTGTGCCGGCCGCGGCGGGGGAGGGGAAGGCCGGATGAGAAGGGACACGAACGGCGGGGGAGGGGAGGCTGCGGCCGGGGGTCCTGGTACCTCCAGCCGAAACAGAGAAGGAGGAAGGGGCCGCGGGAAGGGGAGTGGAGGCTGCGAGGGGAGCGGAGAGAGGGAGGAAAAAAATTGCCTACAAGAAGAGAGAGAGGAGACTCGAGGAGACTCGGAGTGTAACTTTGTTTGTTTGTTTGTTTGTTTGTTCCCTTATAGCGGGCTTGGGGACTGCTCGAGGGTGGTGAGATGAAGCCGTGAATCAAGCTGGTGGATTAGCTCTCCCCGCAACCATCACACTCGGAAAACTTTGGAAAACTTTGTCCAGCGGGAGCCTCTCTCGTAAGAGCTAGCGGAGAGAAAGTGCGATCGATTTGTCAAAAGTTTTCCCCTCAAATTCCTAGGTGGAAAAAAAAAGGGAAAAAACTCTGAATCCAAAAATTCCAACGAACCCAGAAACTTTGGGGGCG